GTTGAGAGTTATTCTTCCTCCTATAATTACAGATTCTTTAAAACAAAAACAAAAAAAATTAACACACAACACGATACCATTAAAGAAGTTATCCAAATATAATGCTTAAAAATGGTTTACAAAATTGAAAATAATTTACTAACAGTGAATTAACACATTACCGAACAATTCAGAAATCTTAGCACTCTTCAATTCAAAATTTACCATATGATAACATTCTTCAATTCAAATTGTGAACACATGAACACAACTAAAAGCCTCAAACCAATTATTATTCTCCCAAGAAATCAAATACCCAAGTATTAGACTTCATCGACGCTGGCACCTAATATTAGATTCATCATTTTTACCATTAATCCTAATGACCTAATAACTTTTTCTATTCTTGTTGATTGAAAAAATAAAGATCGAAAAATACTAAGGAGAGAGCAAATATGTTAAATAGGGAGAATATCGTTCGTTCTTATTCCAACAACCCACAAAATTTTAATACATATTAGAGGCTTGCCTTTCAAAGGGATCTCTATTTGAATTCAGTGAAGGATAAACAGCAGCGGCTATTTTCTGTCTAAGGTTGAACTTTTTTGCAATCAGCGGTCGGACGTCTTCAACTCCAACCAACGTTTCCAAAAAGGGAAGTAACAGAAGCAATTCTTTATCCGAACGATCATCGAACCAGCTCTCTATCGGTATTCCATTGTCCACTTGGAACCCAAATGCCTGGAATGAGGAATGAACATAAAGAACATTTCAAGCTTCAGAAAGAAAAAGGGCCAACAAAACATCTGAAGTTCTAACTTGGAAATGGTTAGACGTGGTTACCTGTGGAGAATTATCAACAATAATAACACGAGACAAATCACGCCCAAGAACTGATAAATCTTTGAGATAATTCCCATCAACAAAAACACACGACTCGCGGAAAACACGATGTCGAAATATCTTCCTCTTTGGATCAAGAACATTCAGAAGCTGCTCTGCATAAATACTCTGACTGGCTGTAAATATGATAATCTCGAAATGTCGAGCAACTGCTTCCATGAAATCTCTGAGATAAGGCCGGCATCTAACATAAACTGTATGCTCCTGGAGGTTGAAATTTACAGGAAATGTAAAATCAGCATCATCACAAGGTTCAAGTGAAGAATGCACCAGAGTTTCTGCAAAATGAAGTTACTTGGTCAGTTATTATAAAAGGTTAAATGTAAGAAAGTTAAATGAATTTAACTGACTATACACGGAATTAATGAAAAAAAAAATGTCCGTTAGCATCAGCACAAAAGAATAGGGTTGGAATAATTAATGCACAAAGTCTTTATATTTTAAACTTCAACTACCCACCACTTATAATTGCGTGGTAAAAAATTGGCAAATGAGCCTAAGCACTTAGAAAAGAAATCAGTGGGGGTATTCAAGAAAAACTTTCAGGATAACCAGTATATATTCATCATATGAAACAAGCACAATATCTGCGTTAACACTTGTTACCATCCAAGTCCAAAACAAGGGTGGTAGGAGGACAACTCCGAGTCTGTTTTGGTAGTAGCATAGGTCGATAAGTTGGGACAACTGCAGATAACTCAGGTAGATTCTTGATGAAAAAGTAAGGATCAAAATCATCTATTTCTTCATATTCATCATCCTGCATGTGAACTTCAGCTGCTATAGTATCGTGGGCATGCTCATCGACACACTCCAGCTTAGAGTTCTTCATGGCAAGATATATAGCTGATACTTCAGATGATAGACTTGCATCCCCTGTATCTGCATTGTGTAAACAGATTCCTTCTTTAACCTAACAGTTTTGCACAACTAAATTCCATGTCATCAGAGAATCTCATACAAAGAACAGTAAATATGGTCTTACTGTAAGTCATCTCTTGATCGCCATGAACAGTAAATTCTGAGTTATCTGAATGGAACACTTGATCTCCACCTTGAAAGAACTTTATAAACTCAACTGACAGGAAATAAATGAATAAAAAAACCTCAAGTTAAAAAGCAAGTATGTTATAGAATAATTTTAACTCCAATGAAAAATAATGTCATCGATGAACTAATTTCATCATCTACCTCCATTATGAGCTTCCCCTCCAGCATGAGCAGATACATGAAAAGATGGAGAAAATATGGTTTCTGATGCAGAGTTAGCAATGTCATCATCATAACCCTGCCAAATGAATTACAGATGCAGCATCGTCCATCATAAATTGTGAGACCATTCTCCCCTCCAAAACCAGAAAAGAAATAACCCTCAACGTGAAGTTACAAATGCATGCAGGTTAGTCTAGGCAGTATTCATGAATAATTTACCTTGAAACCCAAGGTAGCACCATCAGTTGTACCATGGTCCAAACAAGCACCAGAAGTCTCATTGCGTAGAAAATCATATTTAATGTTTAAATCTGTTAAAACATCTTCTCCATTATTTTCTGATGGAAAACCACCTGAAAATGAGACAAACTCTTAAACTAAATTGACACACTTAACTCTAATATGAAGAACTTCATTTCAATTACATTGCTTTTTTTCGAGGGCGGGATAGAAATCTTATAAGATCAAATCAAGGTAAAAGGATCGGTAAAATTCATGGTTATCTGAAATAATTATAATAAATCCATTTGACAAAAACAAGTTTAAATTAGATGGCTAAACTAATTTTACTTATATTTACATAGCAACCACTATTGAATAAGATCTAGAATGAAAAACAAAAAAAAAATATTCAAAAGTGACGGACAGCATAAAGAAAATTCCAGGTTGCCAGATGACAAGACAATTAGAATATTTAGAGCAGTCAATACTTGACAGACCACCCATACAAGAAAAGGAAAATTCTTGTGAAAGAATTACATTACATGCGAATTTAGCAGCTTACCAAGAGTACGTTTTCTAGCAGAGGATGTTATTAGATCAGTAATATTCTTTTCTACAACTTGTAATGTTTCAGAATATTTTCTTTGAGATCGTAAAACCTTGGGACTGACAAGCTCTCGGGTAGCATTTCTCCCATGACTTTTTTTCTTCGTCTGCATTTTCCAAGTTGCTGGGAAGAAGTTCCAATCTCAAGAAGTCATTCGATATGGGTGCCCACTTAATTTTGGCAGCAATCAATAAATTAGCTAATGAATATTCACAAACAATTAGCAGAGATTGCTGTAGGTAATTACTAAGAAAATCAAATAAACCAATGACCTACACTTTCAACAAACCAGAAGGTAACTATTTTCAAAAGATTTCATAACTTAAACAGGATTGAAAAGACTGCCACTTCATTCCATATTAAACAAAAAAAAAACAATTTTGCATGATTATTAGTAAAATTAAAGAAAATGAAAATTTGAGTTAGCAAAAAAAAAAGTTGGAAAAATAATTAGTTTACATTGATCGAGTATTAGCTTACCATGGAGCCACTACAGACCAAGCACGTGATCAATATTCTAAACTTGAAATAAACAATAACATTTAGCATTGAATAAATACAAAAGTTTAAAGCAGAGCATATAATCACTAGTGAGTAGTAGTACACATGAAAGCCAGTTAAAATGTAGTGAAGAATAGAACTCCAAGCGCTTTATACATCGACCTAAATGACAGTATCTAAAGAAGAGACGTCCAAATGAAACTGATTTAAATACAGCTCATCACTATAATTAATAGTATTAGAGCTGGAAATTACGTACTACGGAAATTTCCACAGAGCAAAGCTAAATTCCTTTAGAAACACCCAGTTATGCATCATGTATGCAAGAAGTAAACCACCAACGCAATTGCAGACTAGTACATTTAAAACGAAACTCACAATAAATCATAGGACAGACCAATGAGACCATTTCAGATACAAAGAGCTAAATAGAAGATATCTAAATTCATAAATGTTTTAGGGTTTACGTCAAGAACTTTCAAATATGACTAACTTCGGTATGATTAAAAGTAGATTATTGATTAAAACATCCTCGAGATTCGAATTAAACTAATAAGCCTTAAAAAAGCAGTGATTACAAATGAACATAACCCGTAACCCATTGTCTCAAATAACAGAAATGACGCAGCAAGCTCGAGATCATTACAAATTAGAATCTAAAAATGATACCAAAATTCGAGTTCAAGAAAGCTAAAGGAAGCAAACAGAAGCAACATCTAACGCTCAAAGCCACGAAATCAAAGTTAATAAGCACCTGAGGGAAAATTTAACCAGAAGAAGATCAGAAAGCGGGGATCAGCTTGCTTGCTTTGACTGATAGCGGACCGAAAAAGGACCAGAACAACAGTTCAAGAAAGATATTGAACAAGAGATCGAGCTGAAGCTCGAACAATCAGTGGAAACCCTAGTCTGGTTTTGCAGAAAGCAAAACAGAGGATTCGATTTTGGAAGTTTGGAGGTTTTTCCCTCCAATGAAAGCGAAAAGAGAGAGGGAAAGCAGAGGGATCGAAAATTATTTTCGTTCGGACAAAAGGATGAGAAGATAAATAAGTATTTTTATTATTTTTATTTTTTAATCTTTTTTTAAGGCTTGGGGAAGCTCGTCCTTTACCTACTCGCGGTTGACGTCCAAATTACGATACTCGCCACGTTTTACTGACACGTTATGTTGAGGGAGACTTGGACAATACTCCATTAATGGATCTCGATTGCCAAGTTTTTATTTTATTTTATTTCTTATTTTGAAGGGATTAGTCGCTCTGAGAAATTGACTTCTGTTCCCCTTGATAGGAACCTTTATTTCCTGAATTTTTAAGACAAGCCCCAATTTATATTTTATTGCTGTAGTTACCCAGTTTGCAAGGACTTTATTTTTCTCTCTAAAAAATTTTCAGTTCGTTTTACTATTTTTTTACTTTTTAAAATTTATGGCGTGTCTGAAAATTTTGTTTTGGTGTATTTAATGGAAATAAAGCTAAACTATTGGGAGGGTATTCGGGAATATCGAAAAGTAGGGGGCCGATGGTGAAAATTTGGCACAGCTATTGCCTCGTTGGGGGAATCTTTTTTTTTGAAATTTCAAAAATTGAGCGCCGCACAGGGACACGAAGCTGCCTCCGCGGTAGCTCCTCGGCCGTTCGTTCATCAACTTTTGAATTTAATCTGCCCGACGTGGTCTTGTGGATTTTCGCCACGTGTAGGGATCAGATCAGGGCAATAATTGGTACGCTGGTCGTTGGGCCAAGCTCCTGTATTGTATTGCTACAATTTGTTGTACAAATGCATTTTCTTTTGTTTTATTAATGGTTATTAATTTCGATAAATTTATTTTTGTTTAAATATATTTTGGTTCATTAATTCTCTTAAAACGTTTCATTTTATTCCTTATAATTTTAATTTTGTTCATTTTATTCTTTATAATTTTAACTTTTGTCATTTCAATCCATATACTTTAAAACTGTCTATTTTAATCCTCATAAGTTGTACTTTTAAAAGGTGACTAATTTAATTTATATTTACAAAATTTTAACACAAAATATATGCACAATTAAAAAAACGTTTTATACAAATTTATGCCTAGATTTTCCAAAATTGAATGAGTGAAATATTATATTAAAATTATGATTAAAGAAAATGAGATAAAAATAAAAATAAATAAACCAAATTGCTTTTTAAAAACTACCAAACCAACATAGACATTTACAAATTACAAGAACTAAAATAAGAAGTAAAAAACCAAAATAAACGTTTTGAAAGTAAAGAGACCAGAATGAACTAAAAATAAATATTAAATACTAGTCTTTTTAGTATAGAATAATGTGCATTGTGACAAATATATATATATATATATATATATTAAATACTTGTATTTTTTATTAATTAATAATAATAAAAGTTTGAAATCATGTAAAAGAATACAACCAAGGAAAGAGAGGAAGAAAAGGACATTCATGTAACATTGTGGGTTTCTTGATAAGGTGCGTTTTTCAATAGCTCTTTGAAAAGAAGAGCAAAACCGAACATGTTTAACAATATTTTCTTTAATCATTGTTAAAACTGAGAATTGATTTGATACATCAAATCCAGAAAGGAATTTCATACACAATTTTTAAAAACAATAATGATGATAATTTTCTTCATGATCATGTACAACACGCTCTGCTAAGGTTAGCTTCAGCATTGGCTTCAACATCGATTTTACCCGAAACTGATCCGCTTACACTTACAACCACCACCAGCCATCAAAATGTAATAAAACTACAAAAACAGGGAAACTTTCCCCTGGTCGGAATCGTACGAGAAAATCAAAAGACAACAAGTCGAACCAAACCGAAATAATAATATGGTATTCAACCAACTACGAGAGTCTACAGCAAATATTTTCTTTACTTTTCTTTCTTTAATCAGAAACCGCTACAGCATATTAGAGTTTTCAGCTAATTATCAACTAAGCAAAAATAGAAGATCGAAGCTAACACCTAGCGCACTAGAAATGAGAAGCACTTGTGAGTTGAATACCAGGAGGGGTAAGGCAGGCATTGTGCATCAATGTCAAGATCCTTCTTCACTGTATCTTGTTCAGCACTTCCATGGGGGGCATTTTCAGCAAGAACACTATCCAGTAGAACAAATTTGCGGTTGCAGAATCAAAAAGTCTCACCTCGGAGGAGGGGGCGGAACGTGGGATTTCGTCATTCCAACCCATGCAACAATTCCAACAGCAAGGATGATCCATCCAAATATGTCATACTTGAGATCACTGCTCTTCTTCTTGGAACTCTGGTGTTTGTCCCACACAAGAAAGAAAATAACAAGCACCCCCTTATTAGCAGGAAGATCAAATGATTTACCAAAATTGGGAGAAAAAAAATCCAAGATAAATGACCTTTGGGTTTGAAGCAGCAGTAGCTTCCCCGCCTGAAGGCCCTGCACTCTGTTGACTGTTCCCGTGCTTGTGGATCTCCGAATGGAACTCGGGCGCCTGAGACAACAGAATGATCAGATATTCAGCAATGGCCATACTTCGACTTTATGCATCCCCTTAGAAACTGTCGGCTATAAATTAACTGAAAATATACAATAAAGAACGAGCAACTCCTCAATCCTAGATGGGAGAAATATCCATGTCTTATTCTCATTACTCATCCTTATATGACTTTTTTTTTCTCATTTTTACAAGAAACAAATTCACATTCTCCCATAACTCTGTCATTGACTTGAATCACAAAATAAGTACAACTACAAAAAGACCCAGCCAGACAAGGACTACCATCTAAGAAGTTTAGTTACAAAAGGAGTTAGACAAGGAACACCATCCAGAAGCCAAGAATCGACAGTTTCCACCCAAGACTAGTCAAATTTTCTTTAAACGTGAACCCATATATATTGAACACCAAACTACCGAGATATTGCAGCAGTAGCATTGGTCTATGAGATTCTAGCCATTTCTACAAAGACTGTAAGCAGAAACATTAGAAGAAGTAAATCTTGAATCTTGAGAGCACGACCTCAGCTTGAACATGATTACATGCCATTGGTCTTCTGAAATAATATACATTTTATAGTAACCATACTTAAAAATATTCTGAACTTTCTTACGAACTGATCAAATTTCTTTCCAAACAGATGTTGAAAAATATTAGAACCCTAAAATGATTTGATGGCATATTTTCAACCTTAAAATTCATTAACCATGCAAGAGAAACTTCCATAAGACTCTGGGAACAATGACATGCAAACGAAGAGGAGAAGGGAGAGGATTCTACCACAAAAGCACAACCTACCTCATTAATGGAAGTCATCATCCTCAATCCAATCTTAACTCAACTCTATTATGCAAGTGGCAACACACCCCAAAGCCTAGAGCAAGGAATGGAAAACTAACAGTAAGAATCAATATACATCAGTCAAGACTGGATACGAACTTTCAGATAGTGGACTCCCTAGTTACTAATATCACGCTGTCCTGAATCCCAACTACCACATCCATCAAGTTTAAAGAAACCAATAGGTGCTCCACAGTACATTGTATATCTGAAATGATTCACTTCCCAGCAATATATACAAGTACATTCTAAGTAGTACAAGCTGAGGCTTAAGTGACACTTGACAGTGTTATATTATATCATATCATCACCTTTGCACTGACTTCCAAAGACTTGCAATAAAGTTCGTTACTGGGTTCCTGAGGAAAACAAAATATCAAACTATTTAGATTCAATGAAAACGATCGAGTTTCAGAAGTCGTATTGGTTCGATTAAATTCAAATACATCACCTCATCTACTGCCTTCTGGAAACAGTCACGTGCTTTATCAAAATAAACTTTGGCCTCGTCTGCATTAGGAGTTAGAAATGCTTGAGAAGTGTGGGCATTTCCCAGACACCATAGAGCATCATGCTTCGTGGGATTAATAGCCAAAGCCTCCTCCAGCTTCAAAACAGCGCCTGCACCATCAGATTAGGTTTGTTTTCATTTCTATATGTTAGTTCCTCGTAGCATAATACAACCAATGCAGGCTCTCAAACATTTAAAGGGAAAATGAAAGTACTTCTGATCATATCTTTCGAATCAGCAGCATTCTGAAATTGAGATAACTCAAGCAGTGCCCCTCCCCACTTGGTCAAATTCTGAAGAAAGAAAGAAAAAACTATTTTCAACCGCTCGAACTGAATGCAGTTTAAATAATGATATTCATTAGCTAACGACATCCAGCCCCCTTCCCCGTAACAGTAATTTGAACTAAATAGGAAGGATGTAACAGAAACTGATGAAATTAAAGTGTAAGGGAAATCAGATAGCGAAAGAATATGATACATGAAACAAACGAATAAAATATGAAGGAATAAAGAGATACATCTGCATCGAGCGGGTTCTTGGCGTAGTTAGATTCGGCGGTTTTTCGAGTGTGCTCGAAGAGAAGAAGGCGATCAAAGTCCTCCTGAGAAAACTCCATGGTTGACGAATGAAGGATTCGGAGAAACAGAAATAGGGGGAGGCGACCCCAGAAAGTCAGATTTAAGGTCCGAGAAGACAACTGAGAACGCACCAGTCTCCAATGTTCTCTGACTCACGTGGATATGGCACCCGGTACACAGCCAGTAGGGTTCCATGCCACGGAGCTTTTATTTGGGCCGGAATTCGTCTAACCAGGCCCATCTTTTTAGGCCCACTCGAAAATTTTTCTTTCTTTTTTTTTCACCGAAGGGAATGGAGATTTTTTTTTAAACGCTATGTTGTATCTAACCCTATCTAAGTACCTAATTGATTCTAACTTTAATAGTATATAATGTGCTCATTAATTTTTAAATTTGTGTTTAATAAGCCTTAGAAATTTTTTAAAAATACACAAATCTATTGAACATACGATTTAATACCTTTCGATTTTCTATCGAATGAGTTCGTAAATTTTAGAAAATGTCTAATTGACCGATGACATATTAAATACAAAATTAAAAGCCCGTTGAATTTTTAACGAACTACTAAACGTTTTTTTTTTACTCAAAGACATGTTAAACATAGTCTTAAGAATGCTAATCGATATCTTATCTACATTTACAATATTCATTGAGGTGATTATTGCAGTAATCCATATTTCAAATATTATTGTTTTTCGAGTTGTTGCCTTCTACCCTTATCTGATTATATTTGCATTCTAACTATATTTTTCTTCGTAACCTAGATTTTGATTTATTTTTTAAGTTGGAATAAATAAAGTAAATCTTAAAGCAAAAAATAAAAAAAGTTGTTGATATATTCCGATTTGAAACCAAAATCGGAAGTGTTACCACGAATAATGCTCACAAGGTTAAAAATATGAAATCAAACCTTTTTTTAAAACAAATATGAATCGAACTTATAATACCGCTTAAAAATACAAATAATTAATAGTTAATTCAAATTAGCAAGACCTATCAAAACAATGGAATAAAATTACCATTTTCTACCCCTTTTAAAGGAATCAATCAACATGAGAATTCCTAATTTTTGTCGTGAATCCCACAAATTGAAAATCAATTTTCATTCATTCATAAAATTAGTAAACAATGACTTATCGAAAACGACATTCTATTACATAAATATATCCTTGCATGTATTCTTTTTTAAGTACAATAAATTGGTGTTATAGAGGTTTGAACCTTCGACATCGAAGAAATGAGTAAGTGCTAATTACCGTGCTCTCGACGACCAGCTTAACAAAGAGAAGAACATAATAAGCAGATACTTTAACAAAAAATAATTTTAACATGGGGGACCAACAGTTTGTACCAGTTTTATATGGAAGCCACAACAGAGAAGTTGATAAGAATTAAGATTTTGGCAGTTGCAGCTATAAACAATTGGAGGAGTCTGAAAGATACAATATCACATCAAAGTAGACCCAGTAAGTAGTTACAACTGACCAAATTTTGGGTAAAACAGTGTCTAGAGTATTTGCCAACTCAAACTACAAGCTTTACTACTTGCATCATACAATAAAACACCACCAATCAGGATTCAGTTGACAGCGTGTGAAGTTTACATGGTACCACATCCTCCAATCCGTGAAGTTTACATGGTACCACATCCTCCAATCCGTAACCCGAAAAAGGAACTCGACTTGGATTTTCCAACAGAAGCTATCTAATTCTGAGTAATTAGTCCAAACAAGTTCCATACATAGTGTAGAATAATTGGTTTTAGCAGGTTAATTAGGGTATGAAGAAGATACTTTTCGGCTACTTGCGATCATCTTGTGTGTACATCTTGTGTGTACGTCAGATGGCTGTTGATCCTAGGAAAGATCGGATCCGCTGCAGCAGCTCAGCTTTCACTGAATCGGGAACTGAGGCTACATAACATCATTTGAACCAGAGTCAACGGTGAATTTAGCAAGAAGAACCAGAAGAACACTTAAATGAAATAGGAAGATAATAAAAGGTACACATGTAATCAAATCAGAGTACTGCAAGACAAATAACATTACTGTGAATACGTTTTTAACACAATATGCAATTCACTTTCATAGGAAATACTTCTAAACGTTAATAACACGAAATCAACCGGAACTTATGGAGGTTTAATGGGCATATGGTTATGGAGATCTCCTCTGGAGGTTGCCCTAGGTACAGTTTGAAAACATGTATGGGATGCAAGATAATGGGTGGAATTCTCCTCCATGAAAATCAATATAAAAACCCCCTTGATGACTCTTCTTTCTGTTAAAAGCTGGTTCTTGGAAATGGTGTGTAAATCAAACTTCATTAGGTGTTAAGGTAAGTGCCTTCTTAATTATTATTGGCTCATATTTTCAAATTTGAATATATATTGCTTTAACTACTCCAACAGGAATTTACCTCTGTAACTTAAAAGACAGGCATTATTATTGGTCTACTTGTTCTGGGCGAAATTTTTGTGTATACCTGTGATTTTACTACTTGAAATTTGATTTGGTTTGAAGGAAATCTTCAAAGGTAAAGGTTCTCCTATGGTTGTTGACTTTTCATGAGGTTGATAACACTATGATCTCCTAGTACAAAAGGACTCGTCTCTTACCTTTGAGCATGTGGGGTAAAAGTGTTCAATGAATGTGGCGAGCACATGAAGTCGGGTTTATATGAAGGGGAAGTTTGTTTAACCTCATGCTATATCATGAAAGGATTTAACTTTGGAGCCTTTATAGGATACATAAATATGGAGTTTTCTTGATTATGTTTGGTAATTTTTAGAAGGTATCATATCAAGGATCCTTTCTACTCGAGAGCCAGAATGACCACACAGTTTATTCACAGTAGTATCTAAATCACTAGTGGCTATCAGAAAGCTATCATAATTTATTTATTGAAAATATACGGGTGCAAATTAAACATTAAACATCTGATTGTAACTCTTGCACTTATCAGCATAAAGCATATGTAGAATCCTCATCTGAAGTCTCGTCTCTTTTCTTTAACCACACAAGAAATAAAAAGATAACAAACAGCAAGAATGACCACCGTGATCACCAAAAGAACTGGGTTCTCACAATCTTCATGATTTCACGCACTCGATATAACAATATACATATTGGATCGTACACAATTTAAACCATAAAAGAAAAGGCGATCAAATGTGGAGAACTGGTGGTTAGTGTTAGAAGTCGAATGATCATGTGTAGTATTTGCAGTAGAATGAAATATCGTTTTTCTTTCCATGTAGAGGGGGTAGTGTGATGTACCAAAACCACAACTTCCAGAATGAGCAGTTTATTGGTTCAAGAAGCTGATAATTTAATAAGAAATGTGAGGGGACTTATTGCAAATTGCAATGCCATAAGCCTAGAATTGTCTGCTGCATTATACCTTATTTAAGTTGTTAGACAAAAAATACAATTTTTTTTTCAGGTCGATTTATAAAAAAAAAAAATTTATTGCGATATTTATGATAAATGTTACTGATAGCAACCACTTCTAAAATGGAAAGTGAAAACCAACCTCTGCCTTTTGGAGTAATGACCTGCACAAGGTCGTCGACACTGACATTGTTCCTTCCCTTCTTCCTTACATATGCCCTGGAGAAACAATAGGGAGAGAGAAATCTGAGCCTCAAGAAATGAAAGACTTAAAATGAGCATAAGTAGGTCCAATTGAAGAGCTAGTAAAAGACCTGCAAAGAATCTTAAATCACACAAAACTTGAATTAGTTCAGTTCAAATGGCCATTTTAATTAATCTTAGACCTGTCTTCACCCATCAAGCCATGAACTGCCTTACTCGTCCAGATTTTTAGGACATCATTTCAAATATCACCAGCTCTACTGACAAGAAATGGGCATACTGGAACTTTCCTTTCAACAATTTCTCGTTAATTAACGATTAATAGACGTACTTATTTGTACCTAAACTGAAAATATACTATCACCCTTAACGATGGAACAGCAGCACAGAAATGATCACACATGAATTATGAAGTGCGGAACAACATGTTAAATTGCTAACACGAAAAAGAGTGAATGGAGGAAACCTGCAAAGGGCTTTCATTTCATCTTTCCATCCGCATTCGATAAGCCTCTCTCTCAAGAGCTCTTTGAGCCGCTCTTTTTCGCCACTTTCAATCAGCTATGCACAGAGAAACAAGGAAATTCAATCAAGGTCCTACAGAAAACGAACACACCGAGGAAAAATGCAGACCTTGATATTGATTGTTTCTTGAAAAGTAAGCTGCTGATCTCGATCATCCTCGGCTTCGGGCGTCGGAGGTCGATTAATGGAAGCCCTCCTGTCGCACCACAAATTAGGGCATCGCAATTATATCCATTGTGTGGAGCTTGAACAATTAGCCCCATGGATGCGAAAATTTTCAATTTCCTAAGTGACGATCTGATGAAAGACGACCAGAAATTTGACTTGCGAGAGACTTACATTCTGTGGCAAAAACAGCGGGAGGAAAATTCTTGAGTATTTTCACGGCGACAGAGCGCGTCCGACTACCCGAGAGACTCACCTGCTGACTGGAGCCGACAAGTCGGTGATCTTGTCGACATATATTATTATTATTATTATTATTATTTATTATATTATTGCCGTAATTCTGAAAAATAGTTCGAATCAATTATCACATAGATGATAAATCTCTTGCATCCATGATCCATATGTATGGCTTTACTTTTTCAATAACACAACTGGTGGGATTGGAATCTCCCCTCTTTTAACCGATTAACCAATTGAATTATGTTTGTGTTAATTATTTACCGTACTTTTTAAAATTTTAGTAATTTCTAATATACCAACACACTAATTAATTCTAAATATAGCATAAGTATTATAGATTTATAGATGTGTTAAATAAATAAATGGAAAACCAACTCAAACCCACTCAGGTATCTTTTATAAAGTAGTCTACTCATAGCAAACATTCATTACTCACATGTCATATTATTGATATACTTTACACATGATAGACTATATCATTGATATACGTCGATAAAATAAAATTTGGTATATGATAGTTCATATAATAGTAAAACTAACTATGGTTGATGTTTTGAGTTTTGCAAACAAAACAAACCATTGTTTTATTTTGTTTGATGAGTTTGTATACCTATGGAATAAGCACATAATTGATTATTTATGCATAACTTGAGCAGATAGCTCTGCGGTAACTGACATTTATCTTAAACCAATAGGTTATGACTTGTGAGTTCAATCATCCACCTTACATGTTATATTAATATATATATATATATATATATATATATATATATATATATATATATTGAGTGGATAACGGTGCCTCGTTGGTGACAACATTATTATGTAGCTAAATATGATAGATATAAGAGAAAACATAAAGAGACTTACATTTTCTCAACCATTCAGAGACAAAAGTACGTTGAACAGTCATTTGAACGTTATTGTAATATGCAAACCAATTGATGGAATAAAGAGTACATTATTCCACTAAAATAGGGTTGAATACCTAAATGCCCAACCTGTACATATGTTTTATTAACAATATATGATGCATCTCTGGTATGTTCCATTATGATTACCGCAACGTGGTTCTCGATCCTTGATTGAATATTTTTCATAACCCAATCTTTTAAAATGGAGACGAGATAGAAAGAAACTTTACTAATTATGTACTTATTCAATAGAATTATGTTTTATATAGAGAAACATCGAACCTATTATAGAAAATTTGTATATATAAAAGACAATAAGTGTGGACGACATCGTACACGATCCAAACATATATTTGTATATCTTGTTGATCGAGCACTCATCAATTGAACTACAGGATGAGATTGAAAGTTCAAAACTAATGATATAAACGAGATTTATTCCAATCATATGTTGGCACGAGGTGCAAGGCGATCACAATAAAATGACCAATTACACACACAGGACAAATAGACAAAGTCACATTGAATGTCTCACTACAAATAACTTTAAATTTAGTTAAATTTGGAACAAACACTCATACTATTTATTAAAATAACAATTACATTACTAACTCCAATGAAAATACTAGAAGTAACTATTCTAAACAAACATACATATATCTAGTAGTCATTGAATTATGCTAAATTCAATAATGAAAATGTAATTGTTTACAGGTATATTTTACCGAAATTTATAAACTATAAAATTAATGGCAAACTATATCACTTAATCAAACTCATACTCTAAGCATAGCTCAAAATCTAAAGCTATGATCGAAATTTTGAATTTTTAAATATTAAACAAACAAACTCGTCAAGTATATTACCCACTAATTTTGTACAAGTAAAGAATAGGAAAAAAAAAATTATGGCGGGAAAAACTCCTGAAGGACGAACTGCGGTTTAGTTAAATGCCCAAAGAACCCCTACGACAATTCGAAAAGACCGCTCCAAGCCTGGAGAGCCAAACAATACTACGGGGATATTTTCGTCAGATAGAAAATTCGAGCCCCATCTTCCCGCCACTACAAAATCCCCAGGTTTCCATTGATCTGCATCATCTGATCAATCTGCGCTACACGGAAGGCCATTTTTCAGCCATCGAGTTCTTGCCGATTCCGGCCATGGCCGAAGAAGAGTCCGGGGAGGCTATCCGTCCCGAAATTCCGACCGGACGAGTCAAGAAGATAATGAAGGTGGACAAGGACGTATGCAAAGTGAACTCTGAAGCACTATTTCTTGTCTCATGCGCCACCGATCTCTTCCTGAAGCTTCTCGCTGAAAAGTCTGCAGAAGTCGCCACGGAGAAGAAACGGAAGACAGTTAAGCTTGAACACATCCGAATCGCCGTCAAAAGGCATCGACCGATCAGTGATTTTCTCCTCGATTCGCTACCTCTTCCACCTCAGCCGTCGGATGCTCCGGCGAAGAACGAGAATCGCACCCGCACTGCCGCCGACAAAGCAGCTCCCGAGGGAACCCGTCGAATCGACGATTTCTTTCGCAAGCCAGCGAAGACAACGTCGGATGAGAACAACGAGTCGTAGGCGCTCGAGATTCAACAGGCAAAAGCTCACAAAGCACATTTTATAGTTTTTACTTTCTAGCGTTTGTATGCAAGGAAGTCTATATTTTATCATTAGATGAGAAAATCTGTTTGTTATTGAACGCGATGAATATTATGTTAGTCATTTCAAGAACATGCCATCTAGGTATTGCACAATGAGGGCAAAGCTCAAAACTATAGATAGACACAATTAAGATGAAATTTAATACAATGTAGACAATCAAAATGAGGGGCGGGGAGGTTGACTTTCATTCTCTAAGTATAAACATTATTTTGAGGACCTAGATGAGGTTTGTACAGGAAAGATTCACTTGAAGAAGAAAAAAACTTAAAGATAGAATAAATACTCGAGTATCTTCTCTATCTTCGGTTAAGAAATAAGCTTATTCGCAGGCTAGAATGGTTCTCTCAAACTTTATTCTGTGGGATTATCTTTTTCAGTGACATTTGAACTTGAAGTCATGTAGTGAGACTCTAAGGGGATATTGGGCCAGAAAATGTGGATACCACTGAAGCTGTTTCATCTCTGACCTGAGAAACAAGGGTGTGTCGAAGAGTCATATTTTGTCCAGGTGAGACTTTCCCCTCCTTTATGAATGAGATGCCTTGAGTTGCTGAATTCATGCTGTTTGATCCCAATTGCTGGATTCCTAGAGAAAGCCTTCTGTTCAAAGCCATGGCATTGCTATAACCTCCATTAATGCTAGCATTTGAAAGACGCCGACTGCTGGTGCTTGGCCTGGGTCCATAGAAGTTTTCTGGCTCGATTACAACCTGGGTTTGCACTTTTTTCTTCTCCTGATAGAAAAACCATCATTTGAAACCACACCATCTACGAGCAGTTGGTAAATTAGCTTTTGCAGCAGAGTAGTTCAAATTATGAGACGTTGTTGTGGGGGAAAAAGAGATCCGCTTTTGACATGTTTTAGATAGCAGATTCAGATTTAAAGTTTGCTGCAGTGCAACGTGTCCGGTTTACTTACCCTTAGTCTCCTCTTCTCCTCCTCCTTTTCCTGTCTCAGGGCATTGTATTCTTCCAACATCGCTAGCAAAGGCACCTGAAAAGGGGATAATAAGTGATAACTTTGTATTTTTTGCAGGGTGACATGAATAAGAACCAGTATTTCTTTTATGGAGAAGTCACGGATTCTCTACATGCTTAAAATTTGGGAATTTTGTGTGTTTACTACATTCATTTTATTTGAAATTGCCTGGGCACGTATCTCAATTGATATATGTCTCTGCTTCTGATTTTCTTTTTCTACCTTGAACGTCGCACTAGTTTAGGCTCTTAGTTGAATGCTTTTAGAAGATCATTTATGAGAATTAGAATCATTTTCTCAAATGATGGTTACCACATGAGAAACGACATAATTGTTGCAGGCAATTATATAACTTACCTCATCATACAAGAACACTTTACTTCTTTCTGCCTCCCAACTCGTAGTCTTTACCAAAAGCAATTCCACCAAAGCTGCAGTTTACATCATTTTCAAGAGTAGAGAGATGGTGAAGTCATCTAAAATCCTATTTATATGTTCAAATTTCAAGAAGCTCACATCTCTTTGGCCGGGAAAGATACTGTAGTGAAAGATGGTCTTGCCAATTTAAGCAGACAACCCATCTTTAAAGCCTTCCTTGCAGTTCATAGAAATTATTGCTGATATTACCTGGAATTTTGTTGACTGTTATTCTAGCTCGTTCTGCACGTCTGAGATTCTTGTGAGCACCTCTGCTGACTGAGTATCGGCTTTGATCCTGAAAGTTCATTTGTATATTTAATATCTATGATTAAGATTACAGTAAAGTAATTGTGTTTACATAATTGCAGGAAAGTTACCAACCATGCTATATTCTTCCAACCAGCGCTCCTCATCACATGCTAACATCCATTTCTCCACTTTCTCCATTATAGTCTTCCGGCTAGATGCTTCTTCTTTTGCTCTTGATATCTGTTCATCCATGCTTGTGAGGAGATTGGCATGGTCAATTTCCCCTTTTGCAGTACATAGAAGTCAGTTTTTGAATTACTTTTGATTTGTATAAAGTACATGATATTCTTTAGCATTGATGCCATTGCACACTGTACCAGAATTAATGAGATTTATTATTTTTTCCATTTCCGATCTTGAAGGTATCTCCATATGCGATTTGTTACATATGTCTTCCAGCTCCTTCTGTTTCTTGATAAATAGCTCTTTCATCTTGCTTGCTTTTAGTTGATCAAGTCTCTTGACTTCAGCCTCAGCCTAGAATATTTTTTTTTCACAAAATTGTCACCTAATTCATTATATTTTCTATTTACCTTTACCACATGTTGTATATACTATATGGTACCTGCTCGATTATATATACTGCAAGGCTCCCGGGATCAGATATTTCTGGCGATGAGACTGATAGCAGACGAGTTACATGGGAAAACAGTCTGCGATCACCATAAGGTGAATCCATAAGATCCCACAAGTTTGTTAATGCTTTCCCAAGTTTGTGAAGCTGCGGAAAACATTTCAGAAATTTATCAAACAGTGATTTGTTTACAGTATTGGAACAGTTGCAATTTGAAGATTCAAACCATTAGATTTAAGTGTAGTGTAGGTATACTGTAACTGTTGGCTTCACTTGGTTTTTTTGATTTTTTGTGCTTTTGATACAACAATAACAGCTATGTTTCACTTTGTGATGCTTTTATGATTTTGATACCCTTGAACAATTGTGCTACTACTTATATTTATCTCCTGGGGATGTAGCATAAATATGTTGTTGGGTAAGTATAAGTTTCCTCACCTTTTCAAGCCGTTGCTGCTTTTCTTCTTTAAGAGACTCCACTGTGCGCTTAAGCTTTTCTAAAATGGAGTCGCTAATGTTCTTTGATATTCCAGATGGGTCATCCAAGCTTGGATGAATCTTGGTGATAATCGTGGAAGCATCCATCCCCAGTGTTGCAGACAGTTTGTGGACTGTCTCTATATATTTCTCCACTCTCTGAAGCCTTTCATTCTATCCAAAAAAAAAAATCCAAAAAAACTGGTATGTAAAAGAACTTAGAAGTTGAAAATAGTGAGCGTGTGCTTCTATTTTATAGTAGAATCTTAATTATATGGCTGAAATTAGCACCTTTTCACTGTGAAGTCTTTGTAACTCATTCTGATATTCTTCAAGTTTCTTCAGAGAGAGATCATTCTCATTCACTATGACAACAGGAGACGAGTCATCACACTCTGATTGACCCCCTATTTCTGCAGAAATTTTCAGGATTTGTCCTTGTACGGCTTTGAACTGTTTCATCCTCTCTTCTTTTCTCAGCCGCATCTCCCTCAGAGCTGGAGTTATTGAATCAAGCTGCTCTTTCAAAGTTCCCGCCATCTTTTCTGGCTGATCAGACACGTCCAATCAACACAAACAATTGGGTGAGAACTCGGGACATATCATATCAAATATAAAAATGACTGCTGCTATGATTATATTATGATAGTTGCATATTTTTAAGTCATGATTTCAACTGATGGAACAGGTTTAGAGGATAATCATGGCGTACCCGTCCAGGAAGAGAACGTTCTCCAAGGGACAAGAGAAGTTGGGTAAACTCAGCCTCAGCTTCTGCAAGTTCCTGATGGAGTCGAGCTCTCGACACATTCGCACCATCAACTTTTTTCCGGTAAACTTCTAGACACTCCTGTTCCAAATTCAGAAGAACCTTCTCTCTATCAAACTGATCTTCTCCCACTTCGTCCCAAATCATCTGTGTATCATTAGTTTATTTAAAGTTAATGCCACTGATATTACATGTCCAACTAAACAAATAAGTAGAGGAGGAACAAACAAATTCCATATCCATGCCTGCAACTCCTGGAGTAGATATCCACATGAAGTTTCAAGCATAGTGGAACTTCGCATTCCAATAGGAGTTTGGAATGAAGCCATCTTTTCTGGGAACTTTGGTGATTGGAGTGTTTCCCCGAACCTCTAGCCTTCAAAGTTTGAGTTAATCAACTGAAAATGCAGGCAAAAGCTGGAAGTGGGTTGGAGAAAGAGAAAGAGAAAGAGAGAGAGAGATGGGTTTTAGTTTTTGCTTAAAAGACAAGCGTAGGGTGTATGTGAGAGAGGGTGGGTATAGTGCGTTTTGTGTATGCTTTGGATTCAAGGATCGCCATTTTATTTTAGCTCCTCAGCTTTTTCCTTCCCTTCTCCCTCTTCCATCATTTCTTCTTCCATAATATTAAGACAGCAAGTCCCTCTCTTCCCCCCATTAAGATGGTCTCTCTTATTCCAAGTCCTTCTCATTCATAGTTCTCTTAAAAAATAAAAGCTAAAGCCTTTTCCTCAACTTGATTCTCAAGCAAGCCATATGGTTGTATACAACACCGGCCTTAAATGAATAAAATAGTAGCTTGGTTTTATTGAAGTTATGTTTCCAACAAATTTCTGGCTCAAAAGTATAATCGTTGTCTTGTCTTTGGGGCATGTGAGTACAAGATATTCATGTTAGTGAGACAAATGTTGTTGGTTTTTTTCTGACTTATATTTACAAGAAAAATTTCCATCTACGTTACTTTGAACCAGGGATTGCTTTACATTGTTTGCTGCAAAACCAAGATTTTACTTTCCTCAATTTTCTAATTTTAGGCTTGTTTTTTCACTACTTTTTCTACCTTTTTTTTATTTATTTAAATTCTGTTAGTTGTTTTTTTGTTTTTTTTTTTAATATCAGAGTCAATCTTGTGGCAGAAGGCTGAAAGTAGGAGTGGAGAGAGGTTGGAGATACCAAAAGTGTGAAGGACTCAATGGATTGATAAAGACATTCTCGTAAGTGACTTCACAGCTTGAAGAACTTAGAAGACAGAACTTGTAAACATATAAAATTTAGATAAGAAAAAAAAAATATATAACTTGCTTGGTACTTACAAATTTTACCCATTACAACTTTCGAGTAAAAAATCACATAAATAACTAAAACTATGTGTGCATCGCTGTTGGGTTGACGTGTCTATGATCGACTACGATAGCAAATCTTGCTTCACTGCTATTCAATGTTCGACTACGATGGTAAACCGTACTTCACCTCTTGTTATGTCCTAACTTATATTGAAATATTTTTCTATAGATCTAAGGTTCGAATAAAGTTCCGATATAGTTTAATCCAGCAAAAGAATCTCATTTATGAAAAGATTAAGCAGCAATATGCAGTCTAATCTTTACAACCATTTGAGGAACTTTACAATTATTAAGGCATATATTCTTCGTGAAGCAGTAGATTTCTTTACCTAATTGGAAACATATATGTTATAATAGAATATGTTTCAAATAGTTATTGAAAATATAATAGCAATCATACGGTGAATCAATGATATAAAATTGTTGTATCAGTATCAGCGATATACCTTATGAATGATTTAAAAAAAAGTAGTGTATATCGCAAAAAAAATTTATCATATTTATAGATCATTCTCCTAGTGAAAAAAAAAGTTCAAATGTAAGCATCAACGTTGCTATCGATTATAATTTCCCCTTTAATAGTATTAAGTACTATTATATGATTTTGCTAAAAAAAAAAGAACTATTATATGATTCTAAACCTTTTTTTAGTTCCACTATAGCAGTGCTATTCGAACCTTTGATATTTAAAACAAATATATTATATATTAATCGGTCCACCTGCTCTCCTAATAACAAATAATCAAAAATCAGAAGTACAGTTAAAAGCAAATGAAGATCAAGTACAACGTAATGATGCCAACATTTTGTACCTAAGCAGAAGATTCCAATTGACTATGTATAACTGCAAGAATACAATATCTATAACCATTTTGGATCTTAGGACAATGACATGATCCAAGCAATGAAAATACAAAAATTTCCCTATTACAGATATCCAGCAGAAAGAAAAGTGAAAAAAAAAGGCCAAAAATTTCTCAACATGTCTGTACAAGCCTCCATGATCTGAAACTATAACAGTGACTAATACCTAATTTGGTATCAAACAATGCTGGAGATGAGGAAGATTATTGAAATCAGCAGAAGACAGATGTGGAAATATGATGATTTACTGTGAATCGTTAGAAAAGTGAGAGTTTAGAGATGCTCAACCGGGAAAAAAAAGCTCTAGTCTTCATCTTCTTCGCCACCAGTCCGGAACTTTCAAGCGTCTGCCTCTGTGAACGGCGAGTTTGACCTGGGGAAGCTTGTGCTTCACCTGTCTCCACAACATGTTCACAGCATCTTCCTTTTCAGGAGGGTACTGAAATTCATAGTGATGGGAGATTTCCTTCAGTTGTTTCCACATTTCAATCCATCTGTCTTTAGGAAATTGCCGGAGTTTATCAACCATGTATCCTGGTTGTAGCGCCTCTTCGAAGGAGAAAAACAATGAGAATTGAGTGTAGTCGATTTCATCCTCAAATGGCAGCTCGATTTGATCACTTACGATAACAGGAACACAGTGGCTCACAATTGCATCAAAGAGCCGACAAGATGATGGAGTGTCTCCTGCGGGATGCAGACAGAACTTGGATGAACGCATCCCTTGAGAAGACTGGAGTTACCAGAAAAGGAGATAAGAATGAGATACACTGGAGTTTACACTGAATTATTTCCTACCATTAAACTTCAGATAAATCCATAAGAAGACTAACTTTGCCCTTCAAAAAGTTCATTTTCCTTAGCGAGCAAGGGGCACAGAAAAAGCCCAAACTCCTAGATATTCCACTAGATACCCACAGAACTGAAATTAAAAAACCAAAATAGTATCTGTTTTTTACAACATTATCTTGTTTCTTCAACTGCTACTATTTTTCCTAACCATCCAAAACTACTGCAATAAAAAAACAACTTGTATTTTTTCATGAGGATTACAGGATTTCAACTCAAAGCATAACAAAATAAATTGAAAAAGAAGCTTGGATAAGAAACGAGGTTTTGATGTTTGGTTTGGATTAAAGGTATCAGATAGTTTACAAGTTTTAGAGCATCAGAGGAGTAGATGCATAAAGTCTTCCTAATACAAATATAATATTCAAATAGAAATTATTTAGTAACAAGCTAACTGCACCTACATCATACCGTTTTTATGCTTTTCTCTGTTGCAGCACTACGTTCGTAGTGAACATCGTCATAACCATTTAATATCTTTGCCAGTTTGACGCGAATAATGCCATCCTGAAACATATTGATTTAAATAGAAAATCAGTAACCAACAATACCACATCAAAACACAATTCTACCCGGTGTACGAATGGGAGGGTATGTGTCATGTCAATCATGAAACTTCAGTAAACTTACATCTTTTCTGAACGTCTTTCCCTGAAAGAAGAGCAGTGTTTTGCGAGACACGAACGGGTCTGGAGGGTTGTCGTCTATGAAAGAACTCACCACATGCACATATGGTGCTACCACGTCTTTGCCCAAATTTGACATGGCTTTTGGATAGCGGCCAAAATCCACTACAATTTGAATTGAGGCATTCATCTGCTCTCGGAGAAATCTGAAAGCATTAGGATGTGTCATGGGAATGACATGGTCTCTGCCCTTAGACCTCTGCCAATACTTTGATTCACTCAAGAATTTCACAAGGTCAATCTGAATAAACATCGGTCAAATGATCAAAAGCTATCAAATTAGAATTCACTTTATCTACACGACACATCAAATCAAATTTCCTGAGAATATCAAATTTTAAACTAAGAAAAAAACCATATAGTAAGACAGATAGATGCTGACAGGCAGAAGAATACAATTACAAGTGAACCCAAATCTATAAATCTCTGAGGTGAGAATTCCAACGAACGTAACGTTTCTTTCTTCGAAAAACGACTAGGGATGGAACCTACGTTTCATGAAGCAACTGCTGGAGTGTACCAAAATGTAAGAAGACATCGTGATCAGATGAATAGTTTTCTCAAAGCGTGGATATGTTGACAATAAGTTCATTGCCCCTTCAGTGACAAGTCAACTACCGTGGTTTAGCTAATGCGATAGTTAATAAGAAGCAGAAAAATTGACAAGATTTGGAACCACAAGATTTGCCCTCCTTGCTTGTATAAACCTCCGGGTCTATCCCTGGATCTCAAAATTCCCTCATTCCAAAAATGGTAAAAATGGGTCAATTATAACAAATATCGCAGTACAGATTTCCCCCTTTGCACACAAATCAAAGCGAAAATGGAAATTGAACATCATCACAACCCAGCCAAACATGACAATTGATACCATAAACTGCAATAGAATCAGCTAAAAGCAGCAATCAATTTGGAACCTACTCGACATGGTCCGGCTAATACATTCAGTGCCTTCTAGAATTATACTAGAACCCCACTCGGAAAAGCCCTCCCGAACCCAATGATACGAAGTCACAGAGAGAGCATTCCCATGGTTCAAGAAAATTATAGAATTCCAGAAGAACCACGAACTTGAAACAGTATAATCAAGCGGTAGGTACCTGCAATTGGTGATCAACCTCCGTAGCCGGATCGGTCATGTTGCGTCCATGTGAATTGAAACTCAATGAAGAGAAAAACGGCACAAAGAAAGCATCGGCATTCTCCGGATCCATAACTCTAACCGCGTCTCTCCCATCGCCGCTATCTTCGTGTAAAAGCGAACCCATCATCCAGTACTCCACACTATGCTGCCTCTTCAACCCCGAGTTTCTGGGCCACGGCGGCCAAGTGGAGGCGGTCACCGGAGTCTGGTCCAAGTTCCGGCGATTGAGTATCCCGACATTGAAGCGACGCGGAAGGTCGTACATGTAGACTCTGAGAGGAGGCTCGGCGGCGCAGGGGGAGGAGGAAATTGGCTGAGATTGAAGCAGAGGGAAGAAGTATGATCTGATGTCGACGCTTCCGACGATTACATAACAAGAAATGAAGAAGATTACAAAGAAAGTGAGGAAGATTATAGCTTTCCGATACATTTTCCGGAGATCTCCCGCCACAGTTTCTTGATGAACCCAGTTCTTACATCTAACCAGCCGGTTCGCTCCACCGTTGCGTTGAAAATACGAAACGCATTGATTTTTATTTTCTTTTAATCCAATAAAATGTTAAATTATAACGAAAAAACAACAATTTTATATTTTTAACTTGCTGGGTAAATCAAATCAATTACAATTACCATCTTAAACTGATTCTGGTTACAGAATTCAACTAACAGAATCGTTTTGGAAAAACATTTCATACTCAACTACAGAACTACTAAAATCTAACTACAAAATCAAGTATGTAAGGAAAGCTCAAATTTAGCAACAAAATGTTCGAATTTGACTAATTTAAGATATTCACATGATTAGTGACGTGAAAAATAAAATTAGCTAAATGAGAATATTAAGTTTACTGTCTATTCAAAAATATTTTATTAAATTGCAATTTTTTTTTATTCGAGTTTAAGATTTAAATTTTATGGTTATAAATTATTTGCCCACTTATGTTCGGGTGTATAAATTGAATGTTCTCCTAAATTATAAGGTATGATTTATTCATTTTTAAGAATGGTGTCTACTAAGTATTTGCGAATGTGTTTAAAAATTTTCTCAATTGACTCCAACGCTTAAAAAAAGTCGTATATTTGATTCATAAAATGAAAAAATAAATGAACAAATAGATTTCACCACGCCTGTGTGTATTAATGTTATATTTGAAAATGTTTAAAACACAATTAATGTTGATACTGATTTGTGTCAACCGTCGAAGACCAACATGAACTTCACTATAGTGAACTACCTTATAGCAAATTGAAAGAGGGAGACATATAAAAACAAGAAGAACACTCCAAAACTTAGTTTAGTGCGAGTTTGAGCTAGGTAGTTATAATCGATTGAGTGGAGTCAATATGTAAATTTTAGATGATAAGCGTGCGGTTACCCATCGTGTCAATTGTATAACTGATTTCTACATAGGTGAGCTACCTTTTAATGTTAATAAGACAACAATGTTAAGAGCTCGCTCCTTGTGAGCTTGGGTGCAGTTCGTTTACTATGAGGGAAGTCCATTTACATCGACTTGAGAGCTCATCGGGCATCCATGCTAAGCTCATCCCATGCGACTCGTTACCTTACCTCCCAATAATCTTGATGTCATGCTTTAAGTAAACTAAAACAAAGTTATCATAATTTATTTGTCAGTAAATAAGAATTTAAATGACATGTATATGCAATGTCGGTATGAATCAAACTGACAATATAACACGTAAAGTTTATCCAACTTTAGCTCCAAACGAGTTTAGCAATTAGATTGTGATGTTTGATTATGATTTACTAATCGACAAACAAACTTAAAAGCTTGAAATAACTTGTTTAAGCCGATTAACAACGATAAACGGTGTATCAAGTAAATTCCACCGTTATCTGTCCATATTACTTATAGTCAAACAAATACTTAAATTTATATGGAACAGTTACCTAATTATTTTCACTTGTTTGCACTGATTTTTGTATTTGTTTATAGATTATTTATCCATTCAAGTTTCACAATCTTTTTAATATTATTTTTAGTCCAACAAATGATTTATAATATTAAAACACTTTATGAGATTTTATGCATCGTGAGATTCTAGACAAAAATTACTACACACAATGCCTATCATATTTAAAAAAAATATATAATAATATTGGATAACAAATCAATCAATTTATAATTTAAATTTCTAAAATTGAACTATTCATAAAATGCATATAAAAAACAGTAGGTTCACTTAAATATTTTACAAGTTGAACCAACCTCATCATAATAAAATTGCATATTTGAATTTAAAAATTTATAACTTGAAACTAAAACTAGAATTGACATTGACACATAACGACATCCATGCATAAATAGAATTAATTATCAACTTAAAAAACGTTTTGGTTCTCGAAAAGGAAAAAAACTTTAAAGACGTCTTTCAAAATTTCAAGACTAAAAATTGGAAGAGTCATAAAAACAGGTTTATTTAAAAAAATGAAAAAAGAAAAAAGAAAAAAGAAAAGCAGAGTGTTGAAATTCATTTAAATTACCAAACAGACTTTTTTGGATGCATATCAATTCCAACCGCCCCCTTTCGATCTACGCAATCGTCACCATCCACAGAAATCCGAAGTCGCATGATGTCATTTAAACGGCCACGATTGAATGGACGTATTATCATCAAAACGCACGCGAAACAGATAATTACCCCTCCACAACGCATCATTACGACGTCGTTCTAACCAGATCGTCTCTGTAATTCGCCGCTTACCTAGGATTTACCGATGATTAGCACATAATCTTCATCTTAATCATTGTATATAAATAGAAAGGCACAGAGAAATTGGAGTTTACAAATTACTTTACGTTGGCATCGTCGCGCCAATTTTGCAGAGTTCAGATTCAGATCGTCAGCGAGTGGCTATGGCCTCGAGGTTCACTTCAGATGATGCGACTGGCTTTAAGCTATTGCTCTGTTTGGCCGTCATGTATGGCCTCATGTCGATGCTGGTTCACTCCATTGTTCACATGAAGTTTGTTAAGCCGCTCGAAATTGATGCGCCTCTTCACCGTTTCTCCGAAGCCAGAGCGGTCGAGCATGTGCGAATTTTGTCTCAGGAGATCGATGGTCGCCAGGTATGCCGGCGTTCGCATGCTGTTAACTTGGTTTCTACTGTGAAACTTCATTTCATATGTTGTTTTGAGTTTACTCAGTGTGGGTTATTTAATCTGGTGACCACTAACGCGTCCAAGGGAAGATACATATGATTGTTTTGTGATGAATAAACAGCTTAATGTGTTCGTAAGTATTACTTTTGAGTACATTTATACTTTTTCTTTGTAGGAGGGTCGTCCTGGGTTAAGAGAAGCTGCTCGGTATATAAAGGGGCAGCTGGAGATGATGAAGGAACGCGCCAGTACTAAATTTCGGTCAGCGTGGTTTCTCATGTCAACTAGTGAAGCTTTTTAGCGTTGAATTGTTTCTGTTGTTTTATACTGACGGAGTGGTCCGCTGTATCGTATTTGCATGTGCTTCTTGTTAGTTGAAGTTTGATTGTTGATTCGCTGAAGTTGTTTATCACGCAGAATCGAGGTCGAGGAGACCGTTGTCGATGGTTCCTTTAATATGATGTTTCTGGGCCATAGCATATCACTGGGATATCGAGACCACACTAATATATTAATGAGGTATATTTGGTGTTTAATTTTCAAATATATAATTGAATTGGGTACGGTTTATAATATTTTGTCTCTGAACGAAAGAATTTGTGATGTGGGATCAGCCATCTACGTATTGTGGTTCATGTCCCAACTTGCGAATAACAAAGCATAGCTTATTCGGGTAGTATTTATAATCTACTATGACTTCACTCTTGTTGGATGACAGAATTGCATCAGTTGATTCGGAAGACACCGACCCGTCGGTCCTAATAAATGGCCATTTTGATAGTCCACTTGGTTCGCCGGGCGCTGGTGACTGTGGCACATGTGTTGGTGGGTACTGGAAAACCTTTGCCAAAGAAGAGTAACTTAACACTCTTTTGATTGATTATAACACTTTCTTATCATATATTTCACTGCCACAGGATCAATGCTGGAAGTTTCTAGACTTATTGTAGACTCTGAATGGGTTCCTCCTCGTCCTGTTATTTTTATTTTCAACGGTGCAGAAGAGCTTTTTTTGTTGGTAGGCATTCGGTTTTTTGGTTCATAACTAGAAATAAACTGTAACATCCCTTTATTATTTTACTTTGAGGAAGCCTCATGATTATAAATCGTGATTTAGATGGAAGCACAATACATGAGACAAAAGTCTATTTTTCCTTTTTTCTGCTTGTTTAGAAGTTGCGAAATAATGGCTGCTATGTTAGATGTCGAATTTAAAGCATTTTGATTTGAGTTGGTTTCAAACACATGCTAGACGTTCATGTAGGGCTTTATCTTTGTTCTGACGTTATTTTAAGTCAGTTTTGAACAGTCCTGCCCTTTTGGTCTGGCTATTTAATGTTTTCTTTCTCACAGTGAGCATTTCACCTATGCTGTAATAGGGTGCACATGGATTTATGGAGAAACATAGATGGCACGATACAATTGGAGCTTTTGTAAATATTGAAGCATCTGGGACAGGAGGTTTAGGTAAGAAATAATTTATATTGATTGGTATGGTACTAGAAATCCTAAAGTCTTGTCCTTTTATGGATAAGTTTTATATTTTAGTAGACAATGGCCTACAAAATGACCTTTGTTCATCAATTGAATTTCAAGAAAAAGAGTACTCACAAGCCCTCAAGTGGCAGCCCAGTTGGCAAGAGCTTGAGGTCTCTTGGTCATACTGGTTTAGAGGTCTCGAGTTCGAACCTTTGGGTGAGCTTAACACAAAAAATCCTTGATGTCTACCGGGTCTGGGCCTTGGGGCGGGCGTGGGTGCCACTAGGTATAGGAGAGCAAAGCTCCGACTCCCAAAAAAAAGAAAAAAAAAAAAGAAAAAGAGTACTCACCAGAAAAAATGGAGATGATGTGCGAGTTATGTATTTTTCAACGAAATATTTGACCTTCAAAATTGTTAGAATGATCCTCGTTGAAATGGATGGTAATGCATGTGTTGACTCAATTTTCATTTACAAACTAATTAGAAATATACGACCAGCTGAAAAACTTGACCTTTTTTTAATAAATAAAAAATAAAAATATAATTTCAATGTATGTTGCATGTCACATAAATGTTCCCTAATTTGGGCGTTTTTAATTAATAGATTTAGTTTGTCAATCTGGACCTGACTCTTGGCCTTCACAAGTCTATGCTCAGTCTGCTGTGTACCCCATGGCACATAGTGCTGCTCAGGTTCTTCTTCAACTATTATTCCTCTCCAATTTTGTGTTTGGAAGTTGCAATGGAAGATCTTAGTTTCAAATAAAGATTAGTTGTTTTCATTTCTAGATGTAGACATAAATACACTGTTGAACCAACAGGTTGTTGTTTTACATTTTATCTACTAGATTAAATATATTTCTTTGTTTTCAAGGTTGTGCATCCAATTAATAGAACTGCTGT